AAGGGCACAGTGTACAATTGGTTATCTAATTTTTTGACCAACAGAAAACAACGGGTAAGAGTGAAAGACATATTCTCTTGTGAAATTGACAACGATGTTGGAGTTCCCCAGGGTAGTGTTTTGGGTACCCTTCTATTCAAACTATATTTGAATGACATGCCATTGTTTGTTGATTGTGAATTTAGGAACTTTTTTGCTGTTGATACTCTATTGGCATGTAACGATGTGAAAATGAATAAACTAAAGCTGAATGTATTGAAAACAAATTTAAATACAGCCAAATAGACTCGAAAATTATTAACGTCAGCATTGATGATGAAAGAATTGAAGTAGTGAATTCAACTAAATATCTGGGATTCCTATCGTTTGATGAACATTTTGAGTACCACTTGGAAAGATTTTTGTGACTCAGAGTACAATAACCGTTTGCCACTGTCAACATTTCAAGTGTCTGTGAGCACTAATTCCATATTTCACACAAAATTTGATGCAAATTATTTGATCCATTTTTTTCGATAGGCAATCGCCGAACACGAAAAACACTTCTAACATTTATGCCTCCCACCAACAAACTAAACATGCTAAACAGCTGAAACTGTGAATATATGTTCGAGACGAGTGTGCCAACATAAAACAAAAGAAAAATCTATAATCAAATGAACGTAGCCCGCGAAATTTGAACATTCACCTTATTTTTTCAACAGCCCACGTACATATTATCTACTCAACTTTTATTTCTTATTGTGGGTGGATAAATATTAATAAATATATTTTGTAATAAAAAGTCTACAAATCCAGCTCTATCATTTTTCGTACTGTGTTTTTGCTCATTGCGTTTGTGTATAGGATAGTCTAAAAATATTTATGAATTTCAAAATAATGACAATTACATGCTCTCATATTTCACATTCTCAAACGACGAATTCAGCAGAGAAATATTTCTCGTGTAGAAGGATAATGACGTCATTTTCATTATTTGACACATATACATTTGCTATATCTTCAACTCAGTATGTGTTAAATGTCATGGTACATTTAATGTCAAATTAATTGTATTAGTCCAATTGACCTTAAGTGATGCGACCCCATGGTTGCCAAATGCGTTAAAATAATAACATTTGACAATTTGACATCTGCTAATAAATAAATAACCTATCTTTCTGAGTTCCTTCCGCATTTTCATTTTTGGTAAATGAGAAACTGATTTCCAGAATATGTCTGAAAAGAGATTTCCAGTCGTCCTATATATATATGAAGTTGGGGCTCCAGAATGAAGAATCAGCTATGAAGAAATATTAGATGGTCTGTTCCAATAGGTTATGTATTCATTAGCAGATGTCAAGTTGTCAAATGTCATTATTTTACCGCAGTTGGCAACCATGTGGTCGCATCACTCAATAAGGTCAATTAGCATTAACACGTAACAAGGAATAGAAACTACAATTCATCTCATATTTTGCACTCTTTACATTTTTACACTCAGGACAGTTTGCAATGAAAACAAAAAAAAAACTAGTCAATCATAATATAATTCACAGCTGATGTTCCACTGCGGTGTTTTAAGAAATTATTGTCCATCATGAAACTAATAACTTGATAAAGTTCAATTACTCCAAGTATCAACTCTACACAAATACTATTTTTATACTTATACACAAACAAACGTAGTTTGGAATATGTCACAAAACTTGATTATAATTGTAGCATCAGTATCGTATTCAAGTAGCACTTTATTTTAAGATTTTCACTAAACACTTTACAAAACCGCAACACGTGTTTCACAATTCAGGTGTATTCATACTAACTAAACTCAACCTGATTGGCGCTTTATATAAATCAACTATCTAAATAATATGACTCTCTACCTACTTAATAATTGATGATTTTACTGCAGTTTGTATGAACTAATTAGAAATTTGAACAGTAGGAAAAAAAATTACAAACAAACTCATCCAAATGCGCATTTAATAAAAGACAATTACCTGAGTTTACGTATGAACATCAATAGGTAATCAACCAATTTCAACATTAGAAAACAGATTTAAAAAAACAGCACTCGAGTACCCTCCAATACCTGAAAAATGACCCTTTCTATAGGTATATACTCCCCATGTCCCCTCCCGGGTTGAGTGTCCTGAGTTGAAATCTTCCCCACACGGTTAATGTGTGCAGAACATCCCATCTCGTCCATCCACCCCCGCTCCTCCGGAGCAGACCTCAACTTACTGATGGGCAGTTCAGCAAGATTGACATCTGACTTTCTTTGGTCGAAAGTCACCTCTCGGTGCTTTTACTTTCTGATATGTGTCTTTCTGCGATGACGGAAGGATCCGGCTCCAGATGATTTTTCACAATTACAACAAGGGCTTCGTGAGATTTGTCTTCTGGGGCATCGGTGCTACACAAATCCACCAATAACTCGTAGGTAGTATCCCCAACGACCGTGATTAAGGTAGGTACCTTTAGTTCGTCGGTAATACCGTTTGCTATGAAATATTGTTTTAAGCGAGCCACGTATGTTTTCCAGCTCGATCCAATTTGGAACTCATTTATTTTGCCGTGTGACATTTTGATTTAGAAACCACTCCCCTCGAAAATGTTTTCCTCGTCGCCAATTGTAGTGTTTTTGTATAATAATCTTTAATGTTTTAAATAAGACGCATACACTTCAATTACATTTTATTCAATGGCTCGAGAATCAACCTCGAACCCCAAAAACCTGTCCAACATAAGAAAAAATAATAAAACAAAATAACATTCAGTTTTTATACATAGCTAATCAGTGGCAGGTGGTATTCTAATTTACCACAAAATACACAGTTCATACAGATACAAGCCTGTCGAAGTTAAGATCTTTAGTCGCTTAAAAGCCTCTACATGACTGCCTCCAAAGTAAATCGACGTGTGGTTCCCAGCACAATTTATAGTCGATTGTTAGTCCAAACAACTTAGTCGTTTCACTAGCATATACATTCATGTCATTGTCCTTAAAAATTTGAAACTGTTCCATAGTTTTCCTCAAAGTAAATTTCATCAAAGAGGTTTTAGATACATTCACCGTTAGATGATTTATTTCAGACCACTCCATTACTTTATTGTATATCATTTCTGATGTTATCACAAGTTCAGTAGTATCTTCACCAGTTATGAGTAGATTTGTATCATCAGCATATGATATTACTTGGACTTTAGAGATGTCAAGAAGGAAATTAATGAGATCATTAGCATAGATTGAAAATAATAAAGGTCCAAGAATTGAGCCTTGGGGAACTCCCTGAATAACAATGAGAGATTTGCTATGAGTTGTGTTGATGATTATACACTCTGGAATCGATCACTTGAGTATGATTTCATTAAATTCAATGCTACACCCCTTATACCATATCGCTCAAGCTTAATTAATAAGAGGTCATCATTAACACAATCAAAGGCCCGAGAAAAGTCAATAAATAGGCCACAAATCTGGACTTTTCCATCCAAGGCTGTTATTACATTTTCTTGAAAATTATATAAAGCAGTTTCAGTACTTCTGCCACTTGTGAAACCATGCTGACTTGTCGTACGCTCGAATTTTGTCGAACGTGTCCTCTGCGTGTTTCCTCATGTATGTGTCCACGTAGTGTATGTTCAGGTCTAGATCCCGGAATATGTACCTATTCGGTACATATCTTAGAGCGTTTACGGCGGCCATTCCTATTCTCTGCCGTATGTGAGATCTGAACGTTAATGCTTTGTCTAGGTTGACCCCCCCAAGTATCTAGCTTCGTTGGTCCACGGATTCTCTTGTCCGTTGAAGGTGGCATTTCCTTCCGGATGAACAGTATTGCCTGATTCTTGTCAGGGTTTATACTGATCTTCCAAAGGTGGGCCCGTTCCTCTAATATATCTGCCTGTTGCTGCAAGTATCTAGTGACGTGCGCTTGGCTTGTTGATCTCGCCAGCAGAGGTATATACTCGAGTTCCGTCCGGGAGTTAAGTACTTACCCTTGAATTCCGTCCGTAGTATTTCCCTCACTCTTCACTCTGGTTGCCAGTAGTAATAGGGATAATAGAGACCGAGCGTCTAGGTTTAGACCTTTAAGCCAACTAGTGGCAGGAATCTTAAATTTCTGAGCATATGAATATTACTGGAGTTTTTATCTCAACACCAAACCGTCATTTCAACACCTCGACACGTGTTTCGATCACCAAGTGATCATCTTCAAGAGAAAGATTAATCTAAAGTAATCTTCCTATTGGTCAGCTCCTATTGGTCAATCTCACACCTCTCTGTACCTATTTTTCTCATCTGTTATTTGTACACTCAGGAATCTTGACACTTTCTGACCTTTTTTTTCGAAAAACCTGAATTTGTGAATATAAGTGACATCTCTCAGTTTTTGGCTGTCTACCTTTTTGTGTTCTTGCAGATCCTTAACTTAAATATATCTTTTAATTTTATTTTGACACTAGCTTTTACCCGCGGCTTCGCTCGCGGTTGACAGAAGAAAATGTAGAATAATTCCAAACAGCTTATATAGTCAATTGGATTGGATATTGTCGTCACTGTGAATAATACAGTGCGGTATTACGGTACAAAGGGTTGGAACTTCATTACTGGAATGCTAGATGACGTTAAAGTAGCTAGATTTTGATATTTTTTTGACAAACAATTTTTTTATCTTTCATGTTTTTGTCAATAAAAAGTATCCTATGTGACTTATCATACCTCCAAGAACATGTGTACAAAATGTCATGATGATCGGTTGAGTAGTTTTCGCGTGAAACTTACATTCGCATTTATAATATCAGTAGGGATTCCCAAGAAATATTGGTTGTTCAAAGTAGAAAAATTCAAACTAAAAATGTATTTAAAAATATATAGACACGTGTAAGGATACATGGTCAAATAATGTTAGTATTTATCTAATATTTTTGCCAGCTCATTTGGGACAAAGAATATAATCTTCTGGATTATTCATCGAGGTTCACTTTGATACTACAATGTATGTTTGTTTCAGGCATCCACTATTTCCTTTACTGGCTCTACTTTTTGAAAGATGCGAACTTGCCACCCAATCTTCAGACCCACAGTCAAGTGATGCTTTCAATCTCGACATTCAGGCTTTTGTACAACATCAAGAGCGAGATAGAAAACCTTTTTTAGCTAATGAGCCAGAAATCGATGGACTGGTAAGTGATATCTAAAATCTAAAATGAGTATTGAATCTTTCAACTATCTATAATGCGGATACAATTTGGTTCCAAACAGTCTTAGTTTCAACGTTAGAACGATTTCCGTTATCCACAAAATGAAATAATAATTAATAAACACACTTTGCTTTATTTGTCGCGTTCGAGGGTACAATTGTGGCAACCCCGGATACCGGAGGCACAAGGTCACCCATTTGTTTCATATGGATGATCTTAAACTTGATGCTTCTGGAGAAAATGATCTCCAACAGTCCTTGACGGTGGTGGAAGAATACAGGCATGCTATCGGTATGGAACATCCTGCATCCTGTACCATCCGGATGCCGGAAAAACGTATCCTCAGATTGGAATGGAATAACTCCACTCACAAGAGGTAACATCAGTGAAGAACTCTCTCTGCACTCCGATAGATCTGGTCATCGATTGATCTGGTCATGTAGACATAACACGGCCTTGAGAGTGATTCATTACTACGTAAGTGTAATGAAGAGTGTATTGACGAGACATCACTATTGCCTTATGCTCCAGGGTATATTGATTCTGTTGCGGGAAATGAGAAGTGTGAATTGATTGAAACTATTCATTCCTCACCGATACTAATATAAGCCATCAAATCTGATAAGTCCTCGCCCATGGGACTTAGATTATATTTGTTGTGAAGTTTTCAGCTCCTGGTGAGGTGAATATTGACCAAAAAGAGAAAGAAAAACGGATGAAATATCGAGATCTTTTATTCGTGCTCCGCGGTATTGTATTGTATTGAAGTGTTTGGTGGAATGATGACCTATATACTCTCATATCTCAAAGTCATGCTGGCTGGCCGAAGCAAGCAAGAAATCTTGGCAGGAGAAATGTAGAAGGATGTCATTCTTGGTACACTGCATCTACTTAGGGCACACGATTCAAGAATGCAATGATCACCTCACTGTATGGGGATTAGTTATTGTTTTGATGATGCCGGCGCGCCCTCCGAATGTGTCGAATGTGTGATAGTAATAGTGAAGATATGTGTTACTTCAATTCAAGAAAGATGCAATAAATTTTTTTTAAGTGGGAAAATGTATACTATGAATGAATTGAAGAGGTTATTGTATTAAAGTGTATAATCATAAAATTATTGCAAAGCGCTTTCGACTTTCGTCATCATCAGTGCTAACCTGTTGCCTGACAATACAAAAACCTCATCGATTCATTCAATAAGTGTATTCAGCTTTTCAAATCTATTTTAAATGTATACTACTTCTCTGAACCACATTCAAATTAATGCATCAAACTAAAACGTGTCAGAGCAATGGATAAATTTCAGAAATAATAATTTTTTTTTTTTGAAAATTCTGAAGTTCTGAATATTTTTCAAATGTTCTGTTCGAACATTGTAAAATTTTGGACCTGAGTAGGAATACCTTTTTTTCAATATATTTTTAAAGGTCATGCTAGTTGAGACATTTTTGATTCTTGCCGTGTTAGGTACGAATGACTGATACTTTCTAGATTTGCTTTCTATTTATATTGGTAGGCCATAGTGCTTATAAAAAATAATTGAGTATCTGATGTTTTCATATTCGGATCATCTCCAATCACTCGAAGTCAGTATATAACTTCACTTGATAAAATACCTGTCGTCAATTTTTCAATCCTTAAATTATGTATTTTTTTAGGACTATTGAAAAAGGCCTGAATTAGGTGACCGTTCCTCATTGGCTAATTGATAGTGATCCCATATCTCACACCTTCAAATGTTTATAATCGCAAGTAAATTTTGACAATTCATCTGCTTTCATAAAATATGTCCTTAAACTTCAAAAGTTAATAACTGAACTGATAGCTCGTTTCAACATATATATTTTATAATGAAAATTAAGAATACAAACATGGTCTCCGAAAATAAAAACTTGTGTGACCTACCAGAAATTTGTAATGTGGCGAGGAATCTGATATTTTTCAAAAATTAATCACTTAATAACAATGCGAGTAATTTTAAACTCAAATAGTTTTATGTCGAACTAATATGTATACATCTTTGTGAAGTAGTTGGTAGAATAAAGGACTGGTATATCAGATTTCTGGGTTCAAATCCCAATGACGGGCGACAGTTTCATTTTTTGAACCACCCAATTTTCAAACTATTCCAAATTGAATACAGTAACAATAGATTGATTTGATTGATTCACAACAAACTTCATTCCCTCTAGTAATGACCACATCTCTCTTTCGTTGAATAATATACTACACACATCGGAAAAGTCTTGGGATATTTTTAAAAATGGCAATAATTTTTTTTTAGATCGCTTTAGGGAAAAAAAAGTTGACGGGTGATTATTAAACGAATGTAACTNATGCATTTATTTTTATGATATTTTGTATGTTATAAAAATATCCCTAGATTTTTCCGATGTGTGTATTTTTCAATAATATACTATTTTTCAATAGTATATTATATAGTTATCCTTTGTTTTGTTGCAGATGATAAAAGCCATACAAGTACTGAGGATACATCTATTAGAATTAGAAAAAGTCCAAGAATTATGTAAAGATTTTTGTAATCGATACATAACTTGTTTGAAGGGAAAAATGCAATCGGAAAATTTATTGAGGTCAGATTATCCACAAGGTATGTATATGACAGCAACTGATGGTAACTTTAATAACTTTATTCTGATCTGCATATCATTCTAATTGAAAACGCAGATGTTTTAGGCACTGGAATATTGAATAGTATGGAAAATAACAACAATATGATGCCACATGGGAATTCCGAGAGTGGTTCTGCTTCAAATAGTCCTGTACAATATTCGATCAGTCCTCCACAACAGGTAAGCTGATTTCACAAATTATTCTAGCATTGAGGTGTTAGGGATTCTCTATAAGGAAAATGAAAATAATTTCTGAATACTATGTGTTCAATCTTCGAAGAACAATCGATATTGGTAACTATGATGATTATTTTTATAGACTAAATCAACTTTCTTCCTTCAAACTTAGAAAGATTCAATTTTTTCCCTCATTGCTAGCAATTTGCAGCATTATAATGTATTTATTCACTGTATGTGACAATTTAAACATCTCTTACTATTGATCAAAACTGTATTTAAAAATCAATCAAGAATTACTTGAATTTATGAAATTCATTATAAAGTAAAAGCATGTTACGATTCTGGGTTAATTTGCTTGGTTTCATCAGCACTTTGTTAATTATTCTATAAAAACATTGTATTTTATATTCCATATCACAGCTCCACTATCCGGAAATTTAAATATTCCAGTTTGCCTTAGACAGAACTATTTATGGTACGAAATTTACTCACTATGAAATATGCCGTTTACTAATTGTGTAAACTACTGTTTGTATAATTTAATAGATTTCAAACCTTATAAACTTTACAATAACAACAAACTGTCAAATGACAATATGTGTCGTCAGTTGGTCTCAAAATCTGAGAAATAACCGATGACTTACGTGTGTCTAGCTAACTCTCTTTGATATACTGAGTTCCTGCGATCATCCAAACAAGATATCTTGCTGATTAACCGCATAACTATTTTGTCTCAGTTTTTCACTTATAGAAGAAAAGAATGCCATATAAAAATACAATGTTTTAATTGTGATGCACTGTTTTGAACCTTTGGTGTAGTAATGAATATTACTGGAGTTTTTTTCCCAAAACCAAACCGTTATTTTAATACCTCGACACTTGTTTCGATCACCAAGTGATCATCTTCAAAAGGAAGATCAACAGTTTGATCTTCAGATGTCGATACTGCAGCTCTACCACCGAAACTGCAGAACATTTAGCAAATGCCAACCTCTGATCTGCAACAGGCTCAAGTTTTTTGAAGAGCTGTCGCCAGGATAGTGATAAACCACGCCACGCCTCAGCATCTCAGGGCTTAAATATATTAGGGCTGTGTATAAAAACCATGTTGATACAGAGGCTAGAGGACTTACCAGTCATTATAATCTTCAAGTCACGGAGAGGATGCAGTTCATAGGCGGAAGTAACCTTCACGATATGCACGCGACAAGTATCTGGTCATCGGTACTAGAAGCAAAATTGCTGCTACAAATATGCTTGCCATTCCAGTATTATCCTACTCTGTCGGAGTGGTGTAGTAGACTTGAGGAGCTACATCAATACGTAAACCATTCCATAGGAGTTTGCATTCTAACCGTCTGTATATTTTTCGGCAACAGGAAGGCCGTGAATTTTGGAGTTTGGACAACAGAATGGTAGTGGATGGAGACTGTGAAATCATCATGAATTTTAATTCTCTTCTTTGTATGGTCCGTGACCATGTAAAACCAGATGACGCGAACTCCGACACCAAGTACTGAGAGAAGCCGAGCAACAAGTGCTCCACAAATCTGCGAGTTTTTACTAGTAACAATATACTTTATTATCTCATGTTGTATATAAAAAAAAAAGTATATTGAACAGTGAACCTATTGCAAGAAAATCAAAAGTGATTTAATCCTTCATGGATCAGTTATTATAGACTTTGTGCATAAGGTGGATCCACCTAAATCAAAGTGTGTGCAAANCTATTTATATCGTGGCTGTTTATCAGCTGTTGGAATTTTTGTTTGAAGTTATTTTGATTTAGTACAGAACGTTTGTGTGATACCTTTCTATTAGTCTGTGGAGATTTAGCGATAGTTTTAAGTTGTATATATAGGATTTTATGATCAGTTATATGGATAGAGATTGTTATGTGACAGTCTATGTTTTTGTTTGTTGGAATTTGATGTTGATCGTGTTGCATAATTCTATTCAATCACATTACAACTTGTCCAACCTCAAAGAATGTGAACAGCTCATAAGTTGGGACTAAAAAGCTGATAAGAACTGCTTACAGGAGTCTACCCATCAATAAACCACCTCCATAAAATGGTTAGATTGGATAGTGAGATGTCGATACTGCAGCTCTACCACCGAAACTGCAGAACATTTAGCAAATGCCAACCTCTCATCTGCAACAGGCTCAAGTTTTTTGAAGAGCAGACGCCAGGATAGTGATAAACCACACCACGCCTCAGCATCTCAGGGCTTAAATATATTAGGGCTGTGTATAAAAACCATGTTGATACAGAGGCTAGAAGACTTACCAGTCATTATAATCTTCAAGTCACGGAGAGGATGCAGTTCATAGGCGGAAGTAACCTTCACGATATGCATGCGACAAGTATCTGGTCATCGGTACTAGAAACAAAATTGCTGCTACAAATATGCTTGCCATTTCAGTATTATCCTACTCTGTCGGAGTGGTGTAGTAGACTTGAGGAGCTACATCAATACGTAAACCATTCCATAGGAGTTTGCATTCTAACCGTCTGATCGACACTTGTTTCGATCACCAAGTGATCATCTTCAAAAGGAAGATCAACAGTTTGATCTTCAGGAAGACCAAACTGTTGATCTTCCTTTTGAAGATGAAAACTTGGTGATCGAAACACGTGTCGAGGTATTAAAATAACGGTTTGGTTTTGGGAAAAAACTCCAGTAATATGTATTATGTTTTATCGCGCCTGGTGTTGATGACGCATGTGTTGTTCCTTGATTTATAGTGATAATGATTGGTTGTTCTCATTATTCTCCCGTGACCGAAAACCCCTTTCTAAATAAAAAAATAAAGGGGGTGATGTAAAAGTACATCGACATTCATAGGTATGAAATTCACTATAGAAATATGAAATTTGGGACATCCAACGGTCCATTTCAAAAGATGACGTTGCTGAAAACATAGAGTGGAAACAGTTTTTTTTAAGAACTTTATTCAGATAATGCAATCATGGTTACAATAAACATTTTAAATAGTAATTGAGATAGCATATCTTATGTTTTGTCTGAAATACATCCCTTCATGGTACCAAAGTTTATATTATCAATTTAGTATTTTCACTGAATTTATTACAAATAAAATATTTTTTGTTACAGATAGGCTTGTAGTTGAAGAAAACTAGGATTTGTTTGAAATCATTTTACATAATAAGGACATAAAGGATACAAAAAATGTTGTCATTTTTATATGGCTGGGTGAAGTAAATTGCAATATGTGTTTGCTAAGGATATGTTTCTTTAAACATTCAGTTGAATAAGACCGCTGAATTAATTTGTGGAATATTTTTCTGGCAATCGTATTTGTACCAAATACTTTTTAGTTGTATTTGGTAAGTGGCAAAACCTAATAATTGTAATGTAAAATACTTTNTCGTTGAATATGCTAATATAAAAATGATATTTCTTAAAGATACTGAAATTAGGGCTATCTGTTATTTCCTTGGGAAGAGAATTATAAGTTTTCATGCATAGTGTAATGGGATTATTTAAGCCAATATTAGTATGTACAGGTTCTAAAAAGACATTATAATGGGTACGAGTATTATATTCGTGGAGCTGATCAACGAAAGTGAAGTTAGTATTACATTTGACTTGTTCATGTATAACCTTGTATGCAAATTTACCTTGCTTGATTTCTAAAACATCCTGAATAGGCAGTATCTTGGTTACACTGTATAAAGTATCAGCTGAGGTTCTGTAGTCAAACCTGAATAACATTTTCACCGCTTTGTTTTGAAGTATTTTTACTTTTTTGAATAATGTCTGTCCATATGTACCCCACATAGGAATTAAATAGCTAAAAACTGATAAGAAATATGCATGTTGCATATAGAAGGGGTCCAAGAACTGAGCCTTGGGGCACACCTGCTTTGGTAGTTTCAGTTTGGCTTGAAATGCCATCAACCATTGTGAATTGTTTGCGATCTAGAAAGTATGTTTTTAGTTAAGAGAGAGCATTTCCTCTTATTCCCATTTCTTCAATTTTTTCAAGTAATATAGAGAAATCAACAACATCAAATGCTTTTCGTAGATCAACAAATACAGCAATAATGTAGTATTTATCATCCAGTGAAGAAGCAATGTGGTTAATGAAGTCTATAATTGCATTCAGGTGCTTCTATTTTCTTGGAATCCATATTGGTAATTGTCAAAGGCAACACATTTTNATAGGCGGAAGTAACCTTCACGATATGCACGCGACAAGTATCTGGTCATCGGTACTAGAAGCAAAATTGCTGCTACAAATATGCTTGCCATTCCAGTATTATCCTACTCTGTCGGAGTGGTGTAGTAGACTTGAGGAGCTACATCAATACGTAAACCATTCCATAGGAGTTTGCATTCTAACCGTCTGTATATTTTTCGGCAACAGGAAGGCCGTGAATTTTGGAGTTTGGACAACAGAATGGTAGTGGATGGAGACTGTGAAATCATCATGAGTTTTAATTCTCTTCTTTGTATGGTCCGTGACCATGTAAAACCAGATGACGCGAACTCCGACACCAAGTTGGAGTTTGTTCGGCAAAAGATCCATATGAAAACAGCACGGTGATCATGAGGTGTTCTTCTTTGAAGTATATGCATGGGGTTTTCTTTAATAATATTGAAGCTAACTTTCAAATCCACAGGCTCTATCTAGATCACTCAGTTGTTCAGTTTATTCATAGGAGGCCTCGGTGGATACTTTTCCCGACAGCAGGAACTCTTGGATATTTTAGTTTGGAGTGTATACATAACATAATGGTTCCGGATTGATCCTGTAAAATCATCAAAGTTTGAATTCCCTTCTCTGTCGCCGTTCTAGCAAACCAGCGAACTCGGCCGAGTTTTTGATACTGAACAATGTAACCACAAATATATTACCTATACTTCACATTATCATCACGACCTACATCATAGGGTCTTCAATGGCTTGATCTATCATGGTGGCATGATGGGAGCAGATATTATTAAGGGGCCTGAAACCATTATGAATTTGCTGTTGGCATGTCCCACCATTTCAGTTTTAAGTCAATCAGAGTACCGCCATAGGCACTCCTTTGGTACTGGATACTGCTGTTGCCTTACTCTCCAGGGAATATAGAATTTATTGTGGGGAATGAGAAGTGACAAATTTATTGGAAGTTTGTATTTCCTGACCTCAGCCTGATGCAAGCTAGCGTTATCAACCATGACATGAGGTTTCAACATCAGATGAGATAAATATCTTCAGAGAAAAAGTGGAAAGCAGATGAAATATAGAGAATTGCTCTTTCAACTTCACAAACTATACCCAGACGAGCCTGTTAAAAGTGTTGTTCTGATTATGGAAGACCAAAAAATTGCAAAAGGCTGCCATTCTTTCAGTTGCAACACCAATTACCCCATGGCATGGATAGTGACTGGTTTAATTATGTTGATGCGTCCTCTTGATGCATTGGAATTATGGATAAAAAGACTGTCCTAGCAAACTCTATAAAACAAAAGATTTTTTTCAGGCTACTTTAAATCTTTGATATGCTAAGCATATTATAGTCTGAATAGTAATGTATGAAATAATAGTATTCTAGCATTTCTATAGAACATTGGTTGTTTATCCAGGGAACTGCGATAGTGAAATATTGTAGGAATATGTACGTATATTATTTAATAATGAAAATGTGAACTTTGTTTCAGGTTATCTCCAATCAAAATAATATTATTGACCGCCCTTTAGAAACTTCCACTAGCTATCCTTTACCACATTATGGGGGACCAACACCACCACTTCAACCCACCCAGCCGCCACCTGAAAATTTAGTTGTGCATGGATCGACTCCTCTATCCCAGATAGGAGCGAATATTTGTTCGGTACCTCCAAGTGACAGTTCTGGACCTCTTTCGCCAGCTCCCACTACACCTGGGGGTTCAGCCGATGACTGTGATAGTGATTTTACTTCAAGGGGTGGGAGGAAACAGAAGAGAGGTGTGTTACCAAAACATGCTACCAGTGTGATGAGGTCCTGGCTCTTTCAACACCTTGTTGTAAGCATTCACAATAGTAAAATATATAATCTTATTGATTAATTTGGCATGCAAAATTTTTTTGTTCATCAGATTTACAATAATTCGTTATTGTTTATTTTTTAGCACCCATACCCAACCGAAGATGAAAAACGCCATATAGCAGCGCAAACTAATCTTACTTTACTTCAAGTGAATAATTGGTTTATAAATGCTAGGCGCAGGATTCTGCAGCCTATGTTGGATGCCAGTGCCCCATCGGACACAAACAGTGCAACTAACTCACCTAGTCACAAAAAGAAAAAGAGTCAAAACAATAATAGGAGATTCTGGCCACAAGATTTTGGCAATATGCAGCCACAATTGGACAGCGGTAATAATTTTCATCAGTCATCAATTTCATTCCAAGTGATAAAACAAAAAAAAACATTATGTTATGAATTTCAGTTTTTATCGAATTCAATATCATAAAACATTTTGAATCTGAAAAGGAAAAATTAAAAGATCCCAGAAACGAAAAACAACTTTTGTATACATGCAAGCTACTCATTAAACTAATAAAATCATTAAAGAAGTATAATATGACATCAAATACATCATTATACGGATATACGTTTTGACTTTCATAAATTTGGAAATTCATTTGTAAGAAGGATGCAGCAATCCAATAAATATATAGTGAATAATCCGTTTTGATGAAAATTTATTTTGGAAAGTAAAAATTTTGGGCAAAAAACAAGTTGCTATCCAAATTATAGTTATTACAATAAATTTCATTTAAGACGAGTTTCAAAAATAAATATAACAAATAGACATCTAGGTGTGTAGGTGATAATGCGGAGTATCAGCCAAGGCTGTTTTTTCAACTCAACCTAAAGTAAAAAGAACTCAAGTGGATCCTTAAAAAGTTATATCATTGGAAATAGAATTATCTATAATTTCTAGAAAGAGAATTATTGAACGTTTTACTTCACAACATTCCAATTTTGAATTGTCTTTTGGCCGTAATATGAAACTGGACTACTTCAAGAATGATCTCCAGCAGAATTTTATTTATTTGTTTATTTATACGGAATAAGCCCCATTACAATGTAAACATTTCACAGAAAATAAGTAACAATCTAATAATGTTAAATATAAAATAGGACGCTATGGAATGTTTCTGCAGCACACAACTATATACAGCTTAAAATACTTTAGGATATAAAATTAAAATTAAANACCAACAAAAAGGAAAAGCTGTGACAATTAGTACTGTCTCTTCCTTATGTAAAAGAGCTATTGAAAATTATCAGAAAAATCAGATTTGATCTCAATATTCTGCTTCACTAATATTACCAAGGTCTGCAATTTCTAAAACATTTTTGAGTTTGAATTTTCCTATTATAAACAGCCAATCTGGTAAACACCAGATACCATGTGAAGAAGCGGTTGAAGATCTGAATTAGCAAACACAAGAATATCTGGAAACACCAACATAACGTTAAGTCAAATAAAACTGAGATTACCACATATTGAATTAGTCATGATATCTGAAAACTACAATGAAACATTACAAAAATCGTACTGAAAAATGAGAATAAAAACTCCTTCCACATAGTAATGGCTACATCCATCAATCAACACATAAACGGCATGTAAATAAAAAAGTAACTTCATATACAAAATATAAGTAAGTAGAGTCGTGAAATAATTTGTAACTGAAAGTTCGTGAATGGACTTCTGGCATAGACCTAATAATTTTCTTTGCATAACAAATATCGTTAATGAGGATTCAACTCGCTAATTTCCAAGTTTCCAGTACTTTTTGATTGTCTAATTAGTAAGCACACAATGCTTAGTTTTCGCACTGGGGGATATCAATCTTTTCCCATATTATTTCAAATAGCTGGTATCACTGTTCATATTTTGTTAGAAATGTTATAAAATATAAAAAGTGTTTGATACAATCGTAGTCGGATTCTTATAAAGACATTTTTTATGAATTTTGTTTGCTGGGATAGACGTCCTCATGAATTTTTTTAAGGCAGGAGTGTGACATGTCATTCATGAAGATGATAAAAAATACTGGATCCAAGGTAGAAGTGAAACACGTGGCTTACTTTAATTCATGATCATTATGTATTTCATATCTTTCAAGTGTGAAGCACTAATTATTTGCCCTACAGTTAAACGGGCTAGAAAGCCGTGGTTTAATCAAGAGATTGGCTCCATAACTGCTCCCATAACTGCAGTTTGATTATATCTCAATCAATCTTTATAAGTTATTAGGAGCGTAGTTATCGTAAATTTTTCAAAATATGCAAAACATTAATTGTTGCATATTTTGATTGGTTTCTTGGGTACATAGCTGAGTATATTCCTGCCTTGAAAGATTCGTGTATATGTGATAATGGAATACTTATGATTTCTTCAACATTTATATAATACATACGTAATAAAAAATAATAATAATAAAAGGTTGAACTGAAACCTCTGGCATCGAAAACAAGCACTTTTCCCAATCATCAGAAATACAATACATGCGTTTCACCAACCAAGTTGGCGTCTTCAGGAGATGAAGAATTCTAATTCCTAACTGTAAAACTCCCTATTTATATCTAACAGGACAACAGGACACAATTCCACTTTCCAATTCACATCAACAGTATTTTGTTCAATTGATTTATTCCACTTTATTTATCTGGTAACCAGCTGGCAGTCTAAAAAAAGTATTTTTTGTGATCTAGTTATTTTTCAATTATATTAAGGTTTTTGTACAAGTTCCTACTATAATAAAGTTGGGGTGCATTTAGAAATGTGATGGCTAATTTTTCGGTTGAAACATTACAGGTATCTTGTCGAGTTCTGATGATGATGGAGATTCTTACAGTAGTGATGGTGAAGAAGGTAGTTTAGTGATAGACGCCAATGCTCAGAGCGGTGAAGTTAACCAAAATGGTCATTCTGTGGCTGTGTTAGGCTACAATAATAGTCCAGATGCTGAAAGGCAGTGAGAAATGCCAAATTATACATGTTCCTTAAGGTAAGTCATAGTTTGTAAAAAAATATCTTTCCCTTTCTACAGCGGTTCTTTTACATTTCATCCATTCTTCTACTACCTACCTACAAGAATGATCCGTAGATACGAGGGTGCTCACGATTATGGTCTTGTGGTGCAGACTTGTCAAACGATTGTATATAAAAATGATATTTTGTTTAATCAGGAACTTCTATTTCTTGTTCCACTCCCACTTTAGATATTTTGTTCAATGAATTCTGCACTTTTTGACGAAAGCCTAGTGTTAAGAAAATAATAATGTACCTATTTTTAAATATCGTTATGTTTTACTGGAGTTTTTTTCCAACACCATAACCGTTATTTTAACACCTCGGCACGTGTTTCGATCACCTAGTGATCATCTTCACGAAGAAGATTAAATTTTCTCATCTTCAAGAGGAAGTTCAATCTTAAAATAACAGTTTTGGTGTTGGGATAAAACTCCAGTAATATTCATTACTGCACCAAAGGTTCCAAATAGTGCATCACAAATATCTTATGTTTTGTCTGAAATACATCCCTTCATGGTACCAAAGTTTATATTATCAATTTAGTATTTTCACTGAATTTATTACAAATACAAATTCAATAAAAGTATATAAAACAGTTGACTTTTGTACATGTCAGACATTTTAATGTATACGCAATTTTTAAATTGAATGCTCATTTCAGTATTATATCTGTAATTATAAAATAAATAAATTCTACCTATGTGTACATGCTGAATTATTGAATCTTTTTCTCAATTCAATAAATGAAATGTTTCACAGATAATGAATATATTTTCTATCATTTTCAATTTTCAGTAAACGCAAGTAGAACTTGAAATTGAAAATGAAAAGCTGTATTTTTCTGTGGAGTATTTGGTAAATTTTAGTTATGCACGAATTGTATTGAAAAAAATATTCAGAACCCCTGAAATGTTGAAAATTTACAATTATACATACTCTGAAACCTAAGTGTCATTCTTCCAGTTTACATGAACATTCCAAAAACCGTTTTTAATTCTCCAATGCATTTTGCACTGGTTGTTTTGATAACAAGTTTCTGAGTATAGTCTGAAGTATACTAATCGGAACTAATATACGTAATTATACAATAAATAGAATAAGTAAAAGAAAAAGCAAAAAATGTCCATCCAATCCATATATTTAGGAGTTTGTTATCGTAGTCTTGTAATTTTGTCTTTCTTGACATTAGTAACAGAAAACAGTTGACATAAATTATCGTAAGAATATTTTATTGACGTTAAACGTACTTGCAGCTAACTGATGCCTTCAACTATTGTAAATTGAAATTCACTAAAACTGCTGAATGCTTAATATATAGTGAAGTATTATTCTTGATGAACAATTCTGAATTTGTTTCAAGTAAAAATCATATCATAAATGATATGATATGAAACCCTCAACTACAACTATAAGAAATATTCAGGTGGACTCAATCAAAGCTCACCCTTTGGAGTATTGTAAACCACTGTCTGTATATTTTATTTATTTATCAATCAAAGATAAACTTCACAAAAGGTGAAGATTGATTTTAACAACTTCTTTCTTAATATAAATACACTGACCAGTTACTTAATGAAAATTAATAATACCATCCATACAATTTTCAAATTGAATTTTATTTGAGACACGTTTCGCTACGTGGTAGCTTCATCAGTTAGACTGGTACATCAAACTAGTGTACAATGTCTTTTATATGTAGGTAGGTACAAAACTTAATGAGATAAGTGGATTAATTCTGGTAAATTTTGAATAAACAATTACCATACAATATTACTTTTAGGAAAACAGGTGAAATATCGGCATTTTATGTTGAAACTATTTAGATAAATGATTAATTCTGGAAAAGAACAATTATAATGAAATATTACTTCTAGAATATAAGGCCATTTATATATATTTTAGTTATTGACATTTTATAAAAACAAGTTCAATATTCTGTTCAATACTGATTCAGAATTTTTCATCAACAATGAGAACATTTTTGATGAATCGGCGATAAAAAGAAAACTTTGAATGAGTTATGCGAAATATCACATTTAAAAAATGTCAACTGATTTTCTAGTCTCTCTCATGTATACGTAAATTATAAAACAATGTATATATGTTTTTTAGAATTACTGTAGTGCATATTCTATTTTTTAGGTTGGTACCAATTGTCTTGTCAATTCGAGTTGGTTTATATTCTATTCCAACTGGAATCTGTGAAAGACCTGAATCAATGTTATATTTTTATTTGCTATGTCGGTCTGTGATAAATTAACGATTGCTCGAAGTCATTACAAGAAGAAGCAGTAGTGAATAATAAAAATTTTAATACTAAAGATTTTGTTACCATTCAAAAGTTATGTTATTAAGATCATTGTTTAAGGTACTGCAATGTTTGAGCAAACCGAGATTGGTTATATACCTATCTCTGTTGTATTTGTCGAAACTGAAAACTTCTGAGAAATAGTGATAGATAGTCATAATGAAAAATAACTGTTTCAATTCCAAATATTTCTATATATGAATACTGATCTGAATAATGATTTTTTTTACTTAAATAAATTCTTCAATCAAATTACTTCACAAAGACAAATAAGATCAGCATGGAAAAAATAAGCTCAATAGTCTAAGAGCTCGAATATATAATTTACGAGCAGT